AGTGTTTGCTTTTCGAACATAATCAGCCTTGTCCATGATGACGGTTGCGCCTCCTTTGTCAGCAGGTACAACCACGATACTGTCATCAGTCTTCAGAGATCGCAACCCCTTTTCTTCATCGATGGTCAAGTTACGGTGACGTTTCCTTTGTCGAAGAAGACCACTGGCACAACTGCGTATGTCCGGACGCACGTCTTCAGGGATAGCAGAAACCAGTAGGACGGATTCAAGACTCGCTAGGAAGTTTGTTGGTGCTGCATCGGTATGATTGAACTTAAGTCCTTTTGACAGTAGGCTTATCTCGGCGGGTGTTAGATTTCTTTTCGAAAGGCTAACGACTCTCGCGGACATGCTGCACTTGTCGGTAGGACAGAGAAGGGATTGCAATCTATCATTCAACTCGGCTCGCTTCTTCATTCTGGCATCGGTTGAGGTCGCATTTATACGTTGTAGTATGGCTTCGAAGATATCTTCAGGTAAGGATGAGAAGCACTGGTTCTTAAGGTCGGCGATTATTGTCTCAAATCTAGAAAGTCGGTGGTGCACGTCTGATATAATGGCACTCAAAACACGGAATCCGTATTTGCGTGCGAGTAGCCTTCCTGTCTCATTTGGTAGAGTGGGCTTGAAGCGAAGGGACTTCGGTAAGATGCCATGATCGCGACAGCGGTGAAGGAAAGTCAGTTGCTCGGATGTCGTCGCCTGTCTCTGTGAGAATTTCTCCCAGCGTCTGGTAATAATAAGCGTATGACGCCCAAAATTATGATGAATAATGGAGGTAGTATGCATTCCGAGGCGATATAATAAAATGAGAAGGCTCGTCGGAAAATCGAGGTATACTCGTGAATTTTCAAGTCGGTTACACCAACCCGTCGTCAGACGAAAATGAAAAGTGTGAGGGAGATAATCCTACTGGGGAGTCAGGGGGACATCGACAAGACAGGCGTTTATGTGTGGGGGTGAAGAACGTGTTTGGATAGGTGGCGGACGTTAGGGGTGGTGTTGGGGGTTTCACACATGGTTCACTCTCTGGGGGAGGTGCTGAATCCATGATATTCTACATGGCCGAACATGGATTAGCAGTTGGTGGCTTAGGGTGGGCGCAAGCCGGCGAACCGTGAACGTAAGCCTTCGTATTGAGCGTCCAAGTCGACATGGCGGTTGATGCTATTGCTATTAGAGTGCCAAGCTTCTAGAAACTCTCGCGCTTGTTTGGTGTTGGCACTAGCGATCACTTCGGTCCCCTCCGATTGATATATATATATATATATATATATATATGCTGTTTAAACATGCGATTGATAAACGGGCCAGAGTTCTACCAGCAAAACGAGATATCGAGCTTGCACATGAGCTTCGAAATATCAGCCGCACGTTTCAGAATGAGAACGACGTCCTAGTCCACAATCTATCCTCCAAAGAGCTGACTCCTGAACAACTAAAATTGCTGAGTCACTAACCCTGCTTCAATACCACAGACGGCGATCCGGTCAACCTCGTGGCAACGATGGAATCGATTCTCAAACAAACCGAGGAATCCAACGAAACAAAACATCTCGTTCGGCAACAGGTAACCGCCTTGGTGATGGCCCACAAACCACGCGCAAATATCACCAGAACGGAACAGGATGCCCTCAAGAAACTGAGGGCCGACCCGAGCATTGTAGTTCTGCCAGCAGACAAAGGGCTAAAAACCTGCCGGATGATCAACAGGCCTACCTCCGATGTGATGATGAGCCGATGAGAAAGCTGCTGATGTAGTTGGACAAAACGTTCGCTGAAATGCAAACGAACAAAGTAATAAGCACATCGGTACGACTGGCCGTTAAACCAACAGATGCAGTCGCACCAAGGTTCTACGGACTACCCAAAGTTCACAAGGTCGGTGTCCCCTTCCGACCAATCTTGTCACTATCGGTGCGCCAACATTCAATCTGGCTAAATGTCTGTTCCGAAACCTGAGGCCTCTCATCTCATGCGCAAACACAACGGTCTGTTCAGCTACTCAGTTCCTGGAACGGCTCAGAGGGACGCGACTCACTGCAGACGAGGTCATGGTGTCATTTGACGTCACCTCTCTCTTCATTTCAACCCCGCAGGACCTGGCCATCGAAACAGTCAGCGAATTTCTCGAGAGGCAGTATGACGAGACGGACAAGTCAGTGAAGCGGAGACATCTAGTCCAACTATTAAAGTTCTGCCTGAAGACGTACTTCAAATTCGAGGGGGCCATGTACGAACAAATTTAGGGGACGCCGATGGGATCGCCTCTCTCCGGCTTCATCGCTGAGGCAGTTCTGCAAAAACAAGAGAGCCTGGTTTTCACCACTCACAGGCCAAAGTTTTGGACTCGTTACGTCGACGACACCTTCGTCATCATCAGGCGAGAAATGATCGAGGAATTTCACATCGTCCTGAATTCCGTCTTTCCTGAAATCCAATTCACGATGGAGACGGAAAACAACAACCAACTGCCGTTTCTGGACGTTCTTGTTCATCGAAAGCCCAAGGGGCACATAAAAACGACGGTGTACAGGAAGGCTACCAACACACGCCAAATCCTAAGCTATCACAAAAAACACCCGTTATGTCACAAACGCAGCTGTGTGCGATCTCTCTACAGTAGAGCAGAAACACACTGCAGCGAACCGGATGACAGAAGGACAGAACTCCGCTATCTTCGGCGCCTTTTCATGGCCAACGGATATCCCGTAACTTCATCGAGCGCAGCAGGCAGTCTAAACCAGGCCAAAATCGAGTAACAGAACAGCCAAAAGTCTGGCGTGCACTGCCATGCATGGACGGCGTCTCTGAGGCAGTTTCCCGCATCCCAAGGCCCTTGGGGATCGGGATCGCTCATCGACCAGACTTAACCATTCGGCATTTGGTTATGAGACCGAAGGCCCCCCTGCCACGAGGTGAAACGACAAACGTCATCTACCGGGTCCAGTGTAACTCTTGCCAAGCAAACTACGACGGAGAGACAGGCAAACGGTTACAAACTCGCGTTAATGAACACATGCGGGCAGTGAGGAGAATGGACCCATTTTCTCTGGTGGCGGAACACTGCGCGGACTCTGGACACACTTTTGCCTTCCAGAACGCCAAAATTCTGGGTCGAGGCAATGACCGCGTAGCCAGGGAAATGACCGAGGCCTGGGACACGGAGGCAACCACAATAAACCGTTGTGTCGCCATCCCGACAGCCCGCCAAGCCCTCCAGATGCAGTTCAACGAACTAAAGAGCAAGCGCGAAGTCAGGACGGACGTGAATCCAAACACCGGAGAGCCTACGACGGACCTACACGTAACCACACCGAAAATCGGGCTTGACGAAGGCGCAGTCATCAATACTGTTGCCTCAACTACTACTCCGGCAGACGGGGAGAAAAGCGGTCAGAGAGATGCAATTAAGACTAGCAACCCAGCACGACAATTAAGGTCAACGCGAATGCGGGCGATGGCCACCAACGTTCAAATGCCGCCCTCCAACGAGAGACAGGCAGATTGACAGCAGTCACCCTCCCTCCCGCGCTGCTCCGGCGACTACAGAGACGATCCCTGTGCGTATGCGGGCCATTGGCGCCAAAGCCGATTAACCACCTCCTCCTTCCTATAATTACCACCGTGTTAGCATGACTGATATCTTCCTCATCCTATAAATACTGTGTGATGCCGTACGATACTCAACTCCGAAATTGAAAGCTTGTCTGCTTTTGAAACATCAGGACAATACAATCATGGTTCCCGAGATCGCCTCTCCTTCTCATTTATGTCCGGGGTCTCACATCTTCGCTTCTATTACCATATATATATATATATATATATATGACAGTGGGCGCTCGCCGATCAAGTTACGGAACATGCTCGTTTCGTTTTCCCTTTAGGGCTCATACAAGAACCCTCGCAGGCAGTCGCACAGCGACTAGTATTAGACAGAGATGAGGGGGAGCCGACAAAGACAAGTGAGACCGGAATGGTCATTTCTGGCTTATTAGTCGTCATCAGCCAGACATCTCATCTGTGTCTACTAATAGTCGCTGTGCGACTGCCTGCGAGGGTTTAAGTATGAGCCCCAAGGCACAACGGAACGAGCATGTTCCGTAACCTGATCGGCGAGCGCCCACTGTCATAACCGATATTCCCGATCTCAACCGACAGGACAACGGGCCCGTGGCTCAATGGTAGAGCGTCAAACTTCATGACCAAAGATCCCGGGTTCGAATCGCAAGTGATCCACGCTTGGGGTTGGGTATGACTGGCTGATGACGGCTAATAAGCCAGAAAGGCCATTCCGGTCTCCCTTGTCTTTGTCTTGAGATCCAGTTAGATTATCCCGTTTGGTATCCCCAAAAGAAGACGACGAAGAAAAATAGGCGATTCCATGGGCTACATTGTTTTGGTGCTGACGTTTCGGAAACTTCCTCGTTTTCATCACCAGATTACTGGAAAGGAGTTTGTTCCTGCTAGTCCAGACTTGTTCTGTCCCACCGCCTGTTTCGTGTTATAGGAATGCCTGATACATGAACTCTGGCCTGCTTGCTGGCGGTAGATTTGCTTTCGTCTCTCCGTGGCCGACTGCTGGGACTCTCGTGGGAACTTTGCCCCCCTGAACGGACGCCGTTGTCGCTCATACGTCCGTGTGCCCGTGGGCCCTCATAATCTGACAGGCTGATCAGCTGCCCTTCCATGTGGGAATCACGATCGATTTTTTGGGCGCGTCGGTGGGTCGATGTCTCGCGTCGGTTGTCTGACCCCGGCTGGCTCTCCCCCCTGCCGTGAAGTTGACAACTGTTGAGAGAGCCGCGATTTGTTCGCCAGTGCTGTCGGCCCCCTCCGAACTGACTGGAGCCTCGTACGAAGCGCCTGATAGGCCGGATGAAGGCCAATGGCTCTGTTGCTGGTCTCATCTGAGGACCAACATTCGAGAATCAGTGTAGAATACCTTGTCAGCCAGGTGACGCGTATAGGCCAAAACACATTTCGGTGTCTATACGCTACTATTGATAGACTAAGTTAATAATGAAAAACGTACAAACCTCAACAATGGATAGCCTAGACAAAGAATTCCTTTATTACTGTTCGAGACAAAAGAATTTCCAGCTCAAGGTTAGAATACAAAACTAGATAACTAAAAGAACGCCGATCACGCTCGAAAATGGTTATAGAAATGGGGAAGGGGAATGTCAACAGGGGGCCAAACTTGGAAGCACTTGAGGGGGAGCGTGAAGAATTCCAAGCGTTGACCAGCTGGATACAGTAACGCCCGCCAATTCTCCGCGTCCGGCTCTTAAGAACGATCTAGGTGTTTGGAGGTATACGGCTGCTCTGAACCTCAAGTAGACAAATCTTTCTAACGTACTTCATTAGGAGACCGCCCGCCGTTCTAATATACACCGTCCTCTCGAGGCCGTCGCGACTTCTTTTGCACGTATCTATTACTCCCAAAGGCCAATTCTCACGAGGTGCGCGCTTCCCAGAAACTAAAAATTATCATTTGGTTTCAGTCCCACGGCTTCTCTTGTCCATTTTGTTCTTTTCTGCAGACATGGGAGATATTCTTTTACTCATCGTCTATAGAACACGCCAGCGAGTTAGTGCGCTTGTTTCCATCTAACAGGTTACCGTGCCACCAATTCGTTACCGCACGGCAGCACTGGACAGTTCCTCATCAAAAATAAGATATTCAGTGTAAGCGCTTCCGACTGGTTTCTGTCTGATGTTAGCGGGACAAGCGGTCTATTATTTAATATACGTTCAGCCTGCACGAAGCGGGTGCCGAGCTGTTCGTCAGTTAGGGACTGCTCCTTACAGAGAGCAAAAAGAATCCGTTGTAGAGACCTGATCATTCGTTCTCAGATGTCTTTTCGATGGCTGGCAGTGGGTGGGTTAAAAACCCACTGTATCTATGGAGTTAGAAGTTGTTCCGACACCCTTCTTTGGTCTTTTCGGAGTTCTGCTACCGCGCCAACAAAATTGGTTCTGTTGTCACTGTAGATGTCAGTGGGACGTCCGCGTCTACTCACGAATCTCCTCAGACACTGAACAAAAGAATTCGTGGTCAGGTTGGCGGCAATTTCAAGATGTACGGCTCTCGTCTGTAAGCAGCTAAATAAACAACAACAGCGTTTCTCCGGAGATCGTCCGCGTTTGACCATCAAAGGACCAAATTTTTCCACCCTAACACACTTAAGCGGATAACAGCCGAATTTTTTTCTATTTAGGGGAAGCAGAGACATCATCTGTCCCTAAATTTTTCGAAATTTTCTTCGGCAAAGTAAACGTCTACCGATGACACGTTTGACAGAAGCAGTTCCTTTTAGAATCCAGAATTTTTGACAGATTGCACCTAGAACTTGGGCAGTCCCACAATGGCCTTCCAATTCATGAAAGTAATGTATGATTAATTCCGTCACTGGATGATTGTATCGGAGGATTGACGGGTGTTTTAACGATTCACAAAAATTTGACTAGTTAAGGCGACCACCAACGCACATTACTCCTTCAATCAAAACCGGACATAACTCTCTCAGGCCAATGTTTCTCACGGAATTTCTTTTCTGGTAATCTACTGGTGTAGAATTCAGAATATGCAATTCTTTCGAAAGGTGCTTCCTTTGTTTAGGCTTTATCAAGCTAATGCTAGCTTGGCGCATTTTGGATACTCGGATAAAACACAAAATCAGCGTCTCCTGAGGTGTCTTGCCAGTGGTGACTCAGACGTACTGCTTGAAACGCAGGAGCCAGACCACAGCCCATTGTAGCCTTGTCCAACTTGAAAAATGCATTAATAATTCGTCTAAACCATCACATCGATGTAATACATAAACTTGTGCTGTTGTCCTTTTGAATTCCAAGTCTTCGGGTGGTCCTGCTGAAGGTTGTACGAGTTATTCGTTTCCAGGTCGAACTAAAAATTTCGGACCGTCCAGGCGTCTTCGTATCAGCATAAAGTTGAACGTACCTCGGGAAGCAATGTCTATTCGGTTGACTTCCGAACTCACGTATCTCCACTGAGAGGTCGCAGACAGATCATGTATAACTGTCAGTCGGTTGGCTGCGAATGTGCAGAACCTGACTGATTGATTGTGTATATAATAAAGGACTATCATAGAATCGGTCCAGAACGTAATTGTTTGGAAGTACCTATCGGTGCTTGAGCGGAAGAGATCAGCCACGCGCACAGCCAGAGTAGCAGCTGCCAACTCTAAACGTGGTATAGAGACGGCTTTGAGGGGGCAACACGTGCGTTCGAATAAATGAGTGAACAATGTAGATTTCCTTTCGTTAATAAAGCGAGCATATGCTACTGCATTGTATGCTTCTTCCGAGGTATCACAAAACACGTGCAGTTCGGCTCGCATCGGATAGCTAATATCTTTGGGCTTTAGACCTCGGCCCAGCTGAAAAGTCTTCGGGCTCCGTAAATTAGAGATATAGTTTTCCATAGAGAACTCTCGATGCCAGATAGTTGTTTACCTCAATTTATTCCGTTTTTGCACAAGCATTGTAGTAAACACTTTCCTGGTATCAGCCAAGGCAAGACGAAACCCAGAGGGTCATAAAGAGAGGACAAGCAAGAAAAAATAGCCCTACGAGTGGACAGTTTTGCGGACGTATTGAAACTTATCGTCAGAATATCGGAATGCGTGTCCCGCTGCAACCCCAAAGTTCGTTCAGTAGGTATGGGGTTGACAGCAATATCTCGCATAACAGAAGAACGTTCAGTCGCACTAACGACCGAGAGTATACACCGGTCATTAGAAACCCAGTTCTACGTACGAAGGCGGCCTTGATAGAGACGTTTAGCAATTTCGTTCACAAAACGTTTGGTGGAATCGACATCACATAAGGAGACTAGACAATCATCAACGCACATACTCTGGTGAATCGCTCTGCAAGTTGATGAAGAGTAAGATGGACCGAAATCTTCAACATTTTTTTGTAACGCAAAAGTGTCACAAATGACGAAGAAGTCAATCCGAATGTGTGAGATGTCCACTTAAATTCAACGTTTTCCTTCAAGCTCGTCATTTTCCCACCACAAACATTTCAGAGTAGGTCCATCAATCGGGTCCACTTTCACTTGCGGGAACATTTCCTTTATATCCCCTGGCACTGCAATACGCACAAGTCATAAAAACAAAAACACACTTACTAAATTAGCGTTTAGGTCATGTCCTTGGTATAGATTTTCATTCAGAGACACGCCCTGACAATTGACCGCACAGTCAAATACAACACGAAGTTTTTTCTGGTTTTCGGGGATTAACACTGGAGTGGTGTGGTAAATACCAGTGTCTCGTAACTTGAAACGCTTTGTTGTTGTCAAGTCCCTCGATGTATCCCTTCTCTATGTACGAACGGAATGTTTGCTCATATTTCCGATGTAATTCAGGATCTCGACCCAATTTATTATTGAGATAGATTAGTCGTTTACGCGCCAACTGGAAATTGTCCGGTCAATTCGGCGAACTGTTTCGTCAAGGGAGTGGCAGTTGGTAATGCCCTTTTATGATTTAACGTAAGATCACACAACAGCCAGTGCCCGTTTGACCTCGAATGAGTGACTCGCAGTCGTTGTTGAAGTGTCGAAAACGCCTATAGCTTCTTAATGTTGTGCGTCAGATTCGTTTCTTGATTTACAGTGCAGTGACAGACATCGTTCTCTTTGTGCCTTCCACGTGAAGACACAAGCGGCATCCAGCACAGCAGTGTTTTAACGGCAAACGGCTCCCTTTTGCCACCCAGACGTTGGTCGATTACCCAATGAGCTTTCGCGATATCATTCCCAATGAGTATGCCAACCTCGCAATCAGTGAGCTCGTCGAACATTATACCGCTTGGGTGTGGCCACGAAGAAGCTATCCTTTTAATTGTTGATTTTGTACGAGGTGAAAAGTCTTCGACCACCAAAACCCTTTCATTCTCAACTGACTCGATTCCATCCATGGACAGTACTCTTAGACTTCTGACTTCTGAGTTGCATTTGATTGAACCGATTAAAGTGTTTATTGTCAATGTTCTTGGCGTTGTTAACAGTCCACTTCTTACGATAAGCTTTCGTTCAACCAGAGTGACATCCGAGTCACTGTCCAAAAATGCGTATGTTTCGACGTTTCCTGTCGGAGTTGCCTACTTGACAGAAATAACCCCCAGTCGTGATCGTACATGCGTAATTCTAGTCAGGGCACAAAGCCCTTCATCATGTAATATTTATTGATTATTTTCCGAGGATATTACATGCTAAATCTTATGATGTCGTTTTTTGCACTCGGAATGACCACAAAGTTCTCTGGAGCTGCACAACTTGGCAAAATGAGTATTACCAAGACAAACAAAACATAATTTGTGTTGCCGCAGACAATTCCATTGATCTGCGACACCCATTGAAATTAAACGTGGGCAGTTTACCAATTTCTGTGCATTGGAACTTGTATAACATGGCCGTAGATCTGGTTCGACACTCGCAATGACAAAATTGTTAGGCTTTTTCCGTTTTTGATGTTGGGCTGTGGCTGTAAATGGTTGTTGAGAGCGCTTGCCATCCCCATCTCAAGATATTTGTCCGAAACGACTTTTTGCTCTCTCAGCTCGAGTACTTACGAATTATGTGAGGTCTGCAAAATCCGGATCTCTACCATTCATTTATATTTTGTCAGCAACTTCAGCCCATTGAATCAGCGATTGTAGGTCAGACACGTAGTTAATTTACGTGAGAGCTATTTCACAAGTTCTCCTATTATGTACGAATCGGCAAGTCCCCTGCAGTCTGGTTTACTTGGTGTGCCTGCCTCAAAACACCGTCCAGAAGAGCATTAGCCACTACATGTGGCTGGCCATATAAGCTGCTCAATATTTCCCGTGCGGAAGGTAAATAAACCGAAGGTGATGGAAGCATTACGCACTCTTCTATGGTCGCTCTCGCATCACCTCTGCAACAATGAATCAAGTACAGCAGCCTCTGTCCAGCATCTTAAACTTCGATCTCTACGTACACTTCAAACTGTCGTATAAACTTCCAATAATGAACTTGATTCCCGTCAAACCAGGACAGCTCAACGTTGGGCAGTTGTAAACTGGCAGCTGGCGCTTGATTTGGACATATAAACATTTCCACGTGGGCAATGATTACTCTCTTCAGGAGAAATTTCATCCAATGTGTATTGTTTCAAATATCCTGAGGCATGCGCGACGGAATTCACGGGTTAACGGTCGTCATCGGATATCTAAGCATCGGTCTCGACATCTATCCTTGCAAGCTCTGTACTTCTCTCGGCGTCAAAAGAGCCTGTTGGAGTTCGACCTCACGTTTAAATCACTTCTCTTCTATTTCGTCTATTCTTAAGGCTTCAACTGTTTTACTGGAACTACAACTACCAATAGAAACGTTCTTACAAGAGCCGGACTAGACGTCTTTCTTCAGCTCTCCTAGTCCTTCGAAGACACCGGGTTTGTCTAGTCCGATAGACTGTTCCGTACCGTCCGATTCATTCTTCATGGAACGTGTCTCCAATATATGGTACGCTGTTAGGTATTGTAGAATTCCTTGTCAGACGAGTGACGCGTATAGGCAAAAACAGAGTTCGCTGTATGTACGCTACTATTGATAGAATAAGGTAATAATGAAAAACGTACAAAACTCAACAATGGATACCCAAGACAAAGAATTCCTTTGTTACTTTTCGAGCAAAACGAATTTCCAGCTCAAGGTCAGAATACAAACCTAGTTAGTTGAAAGAACGCCGATAACGCTCGAAAAGGGTTATAAAAATGGGAAGGGGAATGTCAACAGGGGGCCAAATGTGGAAGCACTTGAGAGCGGGGTGTGGAGAATTCCAAGCGTTGATTAGCTGGATACAACAACCAGTCTGGCCATCGTTTCACTGGCTCGGACTATGACGCTTGCCTTCCCAAAGCCGACGCTGTGTTTTTCCTGTTATATGTGGCCATATACCAAAGACAGCTTATCCTCGTGGTTGACTGCAAGCTGGTGCTTGTGCAATCTTGTGCAGAGACGTTTGCCCGTTTCACCAACATACCTTGCAATGCAATCTTGGCAAGGTATGCTGTAGACCACTGCTGATTGATTGGTTTTTTGGCCTCATTATCTGCTGCCTGAGAGTGGATTCCCGTTTATGGGCCATCCCAATCCTAAAAGGGCTCAGGATTCTTGCTGTCGTCTCATAAACAGTCCTCATGTAGGGGCTTAAGTGCCGGAACTTCGGTTTTTCATCTCTAGAGCGTTCGCGGTTACACCCTCTTCGGCGCCCACTTATGGAAGATCGTGAGTAACCATTGGCTTTGAACAGGGAATGTAGATATTTCATTTCGTCCCTTCTCCCGTCGTCGTCATTACAGTATGTTTGAAGTCTTGTCCAAGACAAGTGTAGAGCAGCTTTTGTCTGCTGGCAGCACCACAATGCTCGTGTCGGCCCTCGGTTTCTTGGGGGCATCCTGTTTTGCTCTGGTGATATTTGCGCGTGGTTTGTGCGTCATCACCAAGGCGGTTACCTGTTGCCGAACAAGGTGTTTTGTTTCGCGGATTCCTCGGTTTGTTTGAGAATTGATTCTACTGTTGTCACGAGGTTGAGCGGATCGACGTCTGTGGTATTGAAGCAGGCCTCGTGACCCAGCAGTAGTCGGCTCATTGGAGGATAGATTGTGGACTAGGACGTCGTTCTCCTTCTGGAACGAGTGGCTAATATTTCGAAGTTTATCTGCCAGCTTGATATTCCGTTTTGCTCGTAGTTCCCTGGCCCGTTTATCAATCGCCTGCTGCAACAGCATAGTTCCGTCTTCGCCGATGAGTTTAGAGCATTTAGCGATCGCTTGGCTCAGAACCCCTCTATATTTCCGCAGTTGACGACAGTCCTGAAGGAGCGCTCGGACATATTCGCCAGGCGTGTGTTTACCGGTGGCTTGTAAGACAAGCTCTTTGGAAGCATGTGATTGTCAAGGCATCTGTGGGGGAATTGGATTTGTGCTTGCGTAGATGACCTGCTAAGGGTAAAGGTTTCCCAACGTCGTGCTAACTCAAACGCTTCGCGCCCGAAAACATTTACATATATATATAATCCGTATATTTAAAGATGAAGTGATAGCGATCAACCCCAAATACGATGTTCTCTCTTGCTCACAGTCAAATATTCTAACAGTTCTCGTGGTATGGGTAGTGGGTTTACACGCATTGCCTGCTTGCTGATGGCAGGCGATAAAAAAGAATGTTCTTTTTTCGCACTTTTCCAGCGCAAATCGCCATTTTATGTCCTTCACGAGTTGGTGACTATACTCATGAAATCGTAACCGAAATACTGAAATGAAGTTTCTATCAGGAAGACCTACCTGATCGGAGTTGCAATAGCGCTTAATTTACGGTAAAATTCCGTGATATTTCGGACACGTAAGGGTATTGATGGTTGAATGTACTTCCTTGCAACCCACCTGAAAAAAATTCACCCTGTGTAAAATAATTTTTGTTAATGTATGCATAGTCTCCATCGATTTTCGATAGGTTAAATAATTTGGCCGTTAATTCAAGATTTTGATCGATTTTCACGCAAAACTTCTTTATATTAGAGAGCCGGCCGAGGCCTCCGGAACGTCGAACGCACGATTCCCCAGATCCCCTTATACGTTCACATTTCGCACATTATCGACCAGAGTCTCACACGTGTACTAACCTGAGTTCGATTTTCGAGCCCTCGGGGTTTCCTGCAGCAGGCCGTTGGGAGGAATTCGCCCTACAGACTGCGTCAGCACAATTGCATCTGCACTTCCTTCATCGCTGCTTTGACCAACAATTGGGTCACCTATAAGGCACTTGGGAATTCAACTTTGGCAAAGGAGACTTCGGTGCGATACGACAGAAGAATGACTAAAGTACTTTTCATGATTGCCATCAAAGTCTGCTACGTAATAGCCTATAAATTAATTTACGCAATTCTTATTTTTTGGCAACTACTGATGAAAGATCGAAGGATACTGAGCAAAACATTTTTAGCCATGCTCAAATGATATGTGTCAAAATGGGTAAAGAATTATCGGTGAAATTGGTCAACTTGAGACCATATATCTCGCCGGCCGACCTTGTCCACAATCGGTCTTCTTAATTTCTCACCAGCACACATCTTGCATTCCTGGGACCTGGAGTCACTTCCAACACAGCAGACGCCGGACAGACAGACTCCATTTGCGCTTACGAATCTGTTCTTCGACTGGTACAAACGTCAGAAGAGAGACAGATTTGATTCGCCACAAAACCTCCTTGTTGCTAATGCGAAACACAAACAGCTAGGGAAACAGGTTGTTTTGAACTGGGCTGCGATGAAATTTCGATGAAGGGTGCCCAAAAAGGCTGCCCCTTACCCGTAATTCAGAACTTATTAAAGGGGCATGCTTCCTGTCAGTATGCTTTCTTCGTATTATTATGATATGCCCGTAAACAGCAATGATTTGCTCCAAAAGCACCACGGCTCATGATTCACAAGCCGACCTTGAGGACGGCGCAAACAGATACTTTCTCACAATGCAATTTACGCATTACTAGCGAATATTATGCACCTCTCTTTCTAATGCTTTTAGTAAACTTACCTTGTCAATTATGGGATATAAACTCCTGGCCTGTATGCTACACTTACACATTCGAAAATTCCCCCTGAAAGCATCGACCAGGACTGTTTCGAGGTAGTCCTACAGAGAAATGATGAACATGCGAAAGGCACACTTCCTCAGAATACGATCTCAAACTGCAGCATTTTAGAGAGCTGACTTCGCCCTAACAAAATCATCCAGGCGTATTAAGGCTGACTCTTCTGGTGCGGAAATATTGCAGTCAACGCAGATTAATCTAACGCATTGGGTAACGCAGAAAGCCCGTTTAAAGGAGGCGGATTGTCAGGTTAAAAACACTTTGCATAAGCACCGTGCACTGAGATGGAAGGCCGTTTGATCTCTCTGCCAGGAAATAGTGCTTAGTTAGATCTGACCTATTGTTTAAATTTGTATTCAGAGCAAACCGTTAGGGCAAATTCAGTGATGGATACTTTGTCAAAACAAGGATCGTCTCTTCATTCATTTTAGCATCTACCAGCAAACAGACACCCTTTTCGCGTTTAATATGAATGCCAGTTACCAGTAGGCCTGTCTCGGCTCTGAAACATGCCAGCTGGTATATTCAAATGCGTGCGAAATGGATTCCATTGGTTAGCGTGATTGAAAGCCAAGTAAGACTAGGGTCAATACGATGGGACAAATACGATACAAGTACTGAACGCAGTCGTGTAAAGACGCTTTTTTGGCGTGTCGAAACGCACTGCAGTGAGGCGGAAGACAAGATTACCGAATTACAATACCTCCCACAGGTCTTCAAAGCCAATGGCTACTCGCGAAACTTCGTCAGCCGGTGCATTCGCAAAATGGAAGGAAGGGCTGGCTACACGGACACCAAATGTAGGCGGCTCATTCAAAGAGATCCAGCGGCACATTTGAATTCGGCAAGGCCGAAAGTGTCGCAAAAGTTGACAACGGTATGAGCTGGAAACTACTTGAATCATGGTTTATTGACCTCCAGTCAATAAACAAGTGCAATGACCTTCTCCCTCCATACTCGGTGTTGAGAATTCGCCAAAGCGAGGTAATTGACCACGCCGGGAGCGCACAAATGAACACTTTTCCCTACTTCAGGGTCGGAGGGTAAGATGGTCGATCAATTATTACACCAACATCCAACACATGTGATGTAATTACAGCAATTAACGAGGCGAATGTCCGCCATCAAACAGTCATCACACCAATAGCAACGATTTATGATGAAGGGCGAGCCGTGAATGTTTATAGGAATGCGGTAGCATGCCGTAGCATAACTGCATCCTATAAATACTGCCACCCCTTGTGCATGAACCACCCCTATCTGCTTTTGTATCTGATGATGAGTTTGAGCAGGAATCCGAAACGTTAGGCTAATAAAGCTCTTGTACCGGCGATTGAGTCTCGCCCTTTACGATTAGGATCACTTGATCATAAATGTTTGGGACGATCCATGCAGTCGTATCCATGAAAATGACCCCGTGCCAGTACGTGCTTCTTGTCTAACCGACATCAGGGCTTCGTTTCTACCTGACGGCTCTGAAGCGCTTACATTCAGATCTCATGCAATTCCTTTACCATTATCACTGAATGCTAAAACTAGTGTTCCCTTTTAATTGGTGAACTTGTAGAAAATGAACATTTCTGATACAACACACTTCTTCAATGTTCAGTTCATTTGATCGCCAAAATGTTCCCCGGAGTAGGTTACCCCGGCCACGAACCGAATTCGCCGATGTGGTCCTGCAACGGTTAAAGTGGCTGGTCTTCCAGCCTAACCCAATAAAAGCATGCCTACTGATAGGAAGCAAGTACGTCAACAATGTTGACTCATAATCCCAGGCTCCTCGCATTTGTCTCGCCCTTCCCAACATCACGCACCGAAGTTCTGCTCCCGGTATGTGGATGATAACTTCTTCGTTATCGGATGAGATCAACTAATGACCTTCAATGAACGTCTAAATGCGGTCTTCCTGGACATACCATTCACGATGGAGGAGGAAGAAGCGGAAGCGGAAGCGGAGGAGGAGGAGGAGGAGGAGGAGGAGGAGGAGGAGGAGGAGAGAAGAAGAAGAAGAAGAAGAAGAAGAAGAACAAGAACAAGAACAAGAACAAGAAGGGGGAGGAGGAAGAAGAGGAGGACGAGTAGGACGAGAGCAACCAGCTGGATTTCCTGGACGTTCCCCTATGTCCCAAAGACTGTGGTGGCCTAAAGAGTAAAGTTTTCAGAAAAACGACAAATACGACGCACCTAGTGTGATTATTGTTTGACAGTATACACTCGAGTTGCTGATCGCTGAAATTTCATAACGGATATTATATATAGGTGGAATAATTACTCAACCATCTGGCCCACCGACCATGACACTGGAAACTATGTTTAGCTGTACGCTGCTCGCCTGGACAAGTCTCGGCATCGAATACGGAAGGGGGAAAATCTTTACTCTTGTTAACAGACGGGACTTAAACAACTAGCTACTCACTCGACTGTGACCCCTAGCAACAGTTGCGGTCGCGTGGAATTTGAATGTGTAGCCTGATCTCGTCAGATGTGTCGCAACTCGCGAACTCGCGTTTTTTCTCCGCATTGCTGCCGCATGTCCAGACATTGGCTTTACGAGCGGTTGTCCGGTTTCTCTGGTGTAGTTTCTGCACACTGTCACCGTTGAAGACTGCGCTGAAATACAATCTTTCCAAGAATAAAGTTTCTTTTTCTCTCAATGGCTTAAGTATATCTTGGATAAATTAAGGATGACAGAAGGATAGGGCACCCAATTTCGGACGCACTGACATCAACCGATATTTACAGTTCAGGCCGTGCTAACGACAGCAAGGCCCAGCCTTCGCTGTTGACGATGTCGACCGTGTGTATGTGAATTAGAATTTGAAGCATTTTGTCCCCGGTAGGAAGCTGAAGTAGGCAAGAAGGGCAGGATTTATTGGAACCAAAAAATTTTGCGACGGCTACTCAGCTGCGTCCTGTCGCTTCATAAGAGATATAACGAGTGAGAAGAATACAGCAGTTTTGAATTCGTGCAGAAAATCAATGCAGAAACAGCAAGGTCAGGGTTTTGGTTTAAGCTGACTAATCCATAAATTTAGCAACTCAAACACCGTAGGCCAAGAAATTGAAGAAGGCGGGAACTTTAAAGAGCAGAAACAGAGGAGAAAGGGAAAATCATGGGTTTAGAGGCTACCATGGCAATGTAAGGTTAACAAAGTGTCCCAATTGTTTACAAAGATCTGGTTTCACTCGTCGCATATAGGCCGCCTCCAGGTAACGCAATGTCCGAGTTGTTCGTGCCCGGACAAGTACTCGGAAGGAAGTTTTGGGGTCGACGGAGTGACGAATATCAAGCCAGGTGTTTCGTAATGGAAGAACGCGGGATTTTATATTCTTTTCTTAGGAACCATCTGCGCAGGTCCTCAATAGACCTGGCTGCCAACTGCATTTGCGTGCGCCCAATGTACTTGCATCCGCAAGTGCATGTGAATTCATTAACACAATTTGAAGTGGCGTGCTTTGGCAAGGCATTCTTTGTTCGTGGAATCGGAAGTGGCTTAGTAGAACTGCATAATACTTGTTCGGTTGCATTGTGTGTCCTTTAAATGGCGGAACGTAGCCGTCGTTTTGTAGTGCTTAAAATGCCATCGCCCTTAAAGGACAAAGATATAAAGATATAACGTTCCCCCCTTCTTCACTTTCTTCGCCTACGATGTTTGAGTTACTAACTTTATGGATTAGCCAGCTTTAACTGAAACCCTGACCTTGCTGTTTCTGCATTGATTTTCTGCACGAATTCAAATCTGTTGTATTCTTCTCACTCGTTATCTCTCTTATGAAGCGACAGGACGCAGCTCAGGAGCCGTCACGAATTTTTTTGGCACCAATAAATCCTGCCGTTCTTGCCTACTTCAGTATGTGAAATAGTCTTTAGTGATGATATACTTGCAGTGCATCCACCGCACTCTCTTCTGCCCCACCTATGCCCGGTGTTTAGGCAAAGTCAAGATGAGTGGAGTCGGGGGAGGGCGTAGGTAAATGGCACGGTTGAGCTCGAACTTTGGCGCTCCTTCTGACGCCCCCTGGTCCACACCGCAAATGACCAGTTGGTTGTTTGCGCTGGATGATGGTGAAATGTGGTGAGACGCTGGTAAGGGAGGACGTGACGGTGTGATGCAGTAGGGCAGTTTGCTACCGCGGTTTTCGTGAACGCAAATGAAGTCTGGAAGGCCCGTGCGTTGAATAAGTGCGGGAGTGCAGTGTGGACAGTGGAGTGGGATGCGACGAGTATAGGTTGGTGCTCCAGGCACTGGTTCGCCAGTCTCTGTGTAATGGATTCATAAGTGACCGGCAAGGCCGATGTTTGATATGAACGTACGGGGACATCATGGATATGAGAAGTCGGCGGTGTCGATATCAGATTTGGTGATGGTGGAGCTGGTGGTGGTGGTGGTGGTGGTGGTGGTGGTGGTGGTGGTGGTGGTGGTCGCACTCAGCGACTGGGTGTGAGTTAAGCTGATCATGGTGGGTGTGCAAGATGTGTCGAGTTTGATGGCGTTGTTGGTGCGCTGTGAGGTGGAGTGTGGGCGGGACTAGGCATGGTGGGTGTGCTGGATGCGCCAGATGTGTCTGGACTGCGGTCAATTCCGCTCACGTGGATATGCTTGTGGCTAAATAGGCCCATGCGGTGAATGAATGTAAGTGGGCAGTGTGGAGAGTGGAGGAGGCTGCGACAGGCGTAAGTTGGTGTTTAAGGTATTAGTTTGCCAGTCTCCGTGCGATGGATTCGCAAGTGACCGAACAAGATTTTGACCAACAACAGCACAAGAACGGGGCACAGGGCGACCATGCACATGACCTGTATATCCATCGGGAGTCCAAGTGCCTCTACTGACGGAACCAGGTACTACCAGTGTACACTAGGCTGTGAGTGCCATGATTTGCTGATCCTGACATAGCATACGATTTTAAACCTTCAGGCCCAGAAGGGTCACACGCGATTCCGCATTTAGCCTGTTCCATCGCTATTCAAACGTCGGGTCACCAGTCAGCCAACGACTAGAAGGCATTACCCATATGCACACACCCTCCTCACTAGCGTGAGAATGCCACAGGAAAGAAACGTTGCAGCCTGACTCGCAGCCCATCAGTCCGCCACTAAATACAAGCACACACAGCTGGACAGACTGTGTGGACTGAGTTGAGGCGTCAGTCGGCAACCTTGCATGGCAGGACTCTTGACTTAACTTGATAGTCCCACACTCCAATCGCGCATGTGGCAGAGGGTGCGCATGGGAAAGGAGCAGAAAAGCACACTTTCAACTTCAGTGAGAGGTGGCAGTTGAGTGCTCGCGACGGGTTATGTTGCTGTTTGGTGCAGTTTCCGGTGGGTGAAGGCGTGATGGTGTAGTTGTAGCGGCTAAGCGATGATGGTGTACGCCCAGTACGCCACAACTTCAGGCCATGTCCCAAGTTGTTATTAGCAGGATGACATTTGTTTAGGACATTTTATTTTGAACAGAATAGTGAAGGGGAAATTTGGCAATCGGACGAGGATACGTCCGGTGCCGCGCAGGCGGCATCCGCGAGAGCGACGACCCCTGTGTCACCGAAGGTCGCCGCTGCAAGTGTCATTGCAGATTGTTTACTCTATTGTTCTGGACTGTTCCCGCCTGCCTTACCAATCAGCAATAGGAGTTGCGTTCATTGGTTCCGAGCCCACGCGAAGATAGTGACAAGCCACGCGCGACGCAGATAGTGAATTGCAACGAGACAAATCGAAGCCAGGCAGACGTGCGCGCTATAGCAAGCTGTCGCTAGAACGTAGGTGCAGGCGCTACTGAGAGGCGCGACGTAGCCATTATGGCTGTCCACTACATAGTACGGCCGGTGATTGCCTACCACACATTTCATAAATGTGCATGTGGACTAATAGGCCGATGTGCTGGCTGAACGTGCGGGGACAGTGAGGGCAGTTGGGGAGGATGGGACGATGGGAAAGACGATGCTTCACACACCGGTTGGCCTTTCTCCGTGGCTTCGAGTGCCATGTTTTGCTGATTATGTTAAAGCTGAAGCTCACAAATCCTGGGGCTCAGATGGGTTACATACCCCTGCATTTGCCTGGCACATCTCTCTCCAAAGTCGGTTGCCAAGTCAATCACTGACTGAAAGGCATGAAACACTAAGTAATACGCACACCTCACGTGCGCGGTAGTGAAATGTCGACAACGGGCTCGACCAAGTACGCCCAGAGCAGTCTAGTGGATGACGTTCAGCATTTGACTTCTCCTAGTCTCCACGGTTTCCTTATGGTCCGGAGCTGGCAGTTTTAACACTTGCTGGGCTGTCTGATTTTTGATGCTCAAGCGGTGATCAGTCGAATTCGAAAGAACAATATTCTACTTACCTGTGGTTGCTTAACTTGTGGCCTCCTATGGAGCTCCCTTATTTTGAAAAAAGCTAAGCGAACGGGAACCAGTTTATTTAGATTCTGACGTTTCGATGAACTTGGTCGGCTCTCCATTGTCAACGCGTAAAATGCCCTTAGTCGACCAGAAATCCCAAGTGGCATATCATGATGGTCAGCCTTGTGCTGATCGATTTTACTCTACTCTCGCTGCCTCGGCTTCTCAGAAAGGGAGGGTTTACCCTTTTGCCTGCGGGCTTTGGGGGAGGTGACTGGGCTTTTGTCGGGTGGTCGGTCTGGCGGTACTTTTTTCAGTTTATTTGGTAAGGATAATAGGCAGAGCTTTTGAAAACCCTATTGATTTTATGTCAGCCCCTTAGAATTAACTGTACACAAACAATGAAAATATCCGCTATTTAAACAGTACTTGATCCACTTGATTAGCATTGTCACAGAAAAAAATACTTGCGGTGTGGGGAGGCATTTAATTCAGATGCAGACTGTCGGGGAAAAAACAGGGGAAACAAATAATCATCCAAGCGTTTCTTGAATATTTGAAGAGACGTCGCCTCCAGGATTGACTGAGGAAGATCGTTCCATTTCTCCACTACCATTTTCGTGAAAATTGCACAACAAAGATTAAGCCTGGTCATTGTTGTCCGTAGATTCATCGAGTGACCACGTAGATTGGTTGAAAGATGACACTGAAACATGTCCTTGTCGTAAATGGTAATGTTCTCGCGAACCATAGCATTAAGGCAGCAAATAAAGACGGAGCAATGAATAATATGGAGATTTTGAACGTTAAGAAAACAGACAGCAAACAAAAACAGAGGATCACGCTAGGTAGGCGGGTTGTACAGGTGTGTCGCTTTTTGTCACATTCAAACAAGCGATGCGGTCAAATAATATAGGACTGTCTGATCAGAAGAAGAAGCGATCGCTGGAACAATGGCTTTATTCGCCTGACGTTTCGGATTCTCTCTTGAATCCATTATCAGAGACAGTTACAGAAAAGGGTGGATAGTGTACAGGAAGTCGCAGTATTTATAGGATGCGGTCGCCATGCTACCGCATACCTACAGCAATCAACCGTGCTCACTTCATGAAGGATTGTTGCCCGCTGGTGCGCTAATTGCTTGATTGCCGGCATGCAAGTTGTTAATTGCTGACATCTCATCACCCGTTTTGGATGCTGGCGTGATGATTGCTCGGCCATCTGGCTCACGTGCTTGCGCGCTCCTCGAGTGGTCAATTGCTTTGGCAAGTCTATGCCTCAGGACAGAATATGGAGTGGGGATGTCGTTGCACTTGTTGATAGACTGAGGTCCCGTGAACCATGACTCAAGCAACTCGCGGCTCACTCGATTATCCCCTCTCGCGAGAATTTCGGCCTCATCGAACTTGAATGCGTAGCCGGGTCTCGTCGAATGGGCCGCGACCTGAGAGTTGGCGTCATTTCTCCGTACAGCTGCCACGTGTTCGGCGATTCGCGTCCGGAGCAGTCTTCCAGTTTCTCCGACGTAGTTGCTTTGTCCGCAACTGCACCAGATCCGGTAAAGGACTCCAGATGTTTCTTGCCGTGGCAGTGAATCTTTTGGTCTCATCACTTGACGCCTCATGGTGGCTTCGGTCTGTGCGCAACTCCAATCCCAAGTGGTGCAAGAAGGCGGCTAACGGCCTTGGAGACGTTCTTGATGTAGGGGATCGCTCGCCAGAATTTGGGGTCGGCGCGATTTTGTCGCTCGTCTCGTTTGCGCAGGCACTGGCTGAAGAAGTTACGCGGGTAACCGTTTTCTCGGAAAACCCGTCGAAGATATTGGGATTCGGCAACCTTGTCTTCCGGTTCACTGCAGTGCGTCTCAACACGCCGAAATAGCGTTCTTACGCAACTGCGTTTGTGGCAGATTGGGTGGTTACTGTTGAAGTTCAGAATTTGCGTCGTATTCGTTGCTTTTCTGAACACTTTGGTCTTTAGGCCACCACAATCTTTGCGACAGACGAGGACATCAAGGAATGCCAGCTGGTTATTCTCTTCCTCCTCCATCGTAAATTGTATGTCCGGGAAGACGCTGTTGAGACGTTCTTTGAACGTTAGCACCTGATGACGACGAAGGTATCGTCCGCATACCGAGCCCAGAATTTCGGTCTGTGGTGTTGGAAGACTAGCGACTCCAACCGCTGTAGCACCGCCTCGGCGATGAATCCCGAAATCGGCGAGCCCATTGGTGTTCCCTTCACTTGCTCGTAGATTGTTCCATCAAACGTGAAGTACGTCCTGAGACAGAACTTTAGGAGCTGAAGGACTTGGGCATGTCCGAGACGATTCTTCGTTTCATCGTTTTTGTTTCGTAGGAGTAGTTGGACGGTCTCGATTGCCAGATCCTGGGGGATAGAAGTAAAGAGGGACGTGACATCAAAAGATACCATGACCTCAATGGGCAAGAGACTTACTCCTTTAAGCTTCTCCAGGAATTGCGTTGACGAACAGACCGTGGTGCCCGAATCAGCGGTCAGAAATTTGAGGCGCCGAACAAACTTGTCAAAGATAAATTATTCATGTACCTCACCACAGTATCCCCCTTCTAACCCATCAAGTGTCAACACTAAGGTTATAGGACTAAACAGAGTTTATCGCAATTAATTTTCGCGTCTGATGCTAACCGCCGAAACCACATTTTGATCCTACAGAATGTTTATTGGACAATCAGACAACTTTGAAAGTAGCATTGGCAAATCTGTGCAATTTCACCGCTAACGGTGCACTAATAACTAACAAAGATACTCCTTCGTTTAAATGAACCAAAATCCCTTTGCCATTTCGAAAACACTATAATCCGGTACTTTTCCTGCAGTCCAGTTTCTGCACATGCGTAATTTAGAAACGGGACTAGCGAAACGATACAAGTTGCTCCATATTAAAATATTAATATGACATTCTGCTGTGGAGTATTAATTGTATCTTGAAACCTAAAGAAGAAGAGTGATAGTGTTGTAAATTGTAATGTTCTCACGAACTAACGAGATATATCTCACGAGCCCCTAGCCTTAACTGCAGCAAGTAAATCGGAGCAGTGAATAATATAGCGAATTTTGAACGTTAAGAATACCGACAACAGAATACCACAGCAGAGCACGGTAGCAAGGCTGTTTGCTCAGGTATGTCGTTTATCGTCACATTCAAACAAGCAATGCGGTCAAAGTAAGTGGGACTTAATTGTCAAAGGTAAATTAGTCAGGTACCTCACCACAGTACCCCCCTTCTAGACCGGAGGGCAACGGAATTAGGCGCCCGAGGATTTGCATACGTCCAGAAAAAATGCGTAACTAAACGATGCGTTAAATGTACGTGACGGCACCTGCGAATGCTGTAAGCAGAAGGTACAGTCGAAGAAGGTTGACTGCGTGTTGTGGTGGACGATGACGTTGCAGTTGGATGCTGTAGACATGTAGGGAGAGGAAGTATGCGGGACGGAGGGATGGAGGGCAAGGGAGGGGAAGGGCGAGGCAGTGGACAGAGTGAATAAGCAGGGGATAAGGAAGATGGAGAAACAGGGGTTGTGGTGTCAGTACATTTTTGTCCTTGTGACCGGTCCGGCGGCTCCTCTGCAACAGCAGCATTGACCCGATCGACACTGACCACGTCCTCCTTGTCACCGCGAAGAAACCGGCAGATCTTGGCGTTGCGCGCGAGCACGCCGAACGGTCGGTCTCGTGCTGATCGAGTTTTCTCTCCTCTCGCTGCCTCGGCCTCTCGGGTGATGATCTTTTGTCTGCAGGCTTTGTGAGTCACCGCTCCGTTGGGGGGAGGTGATTGTACTTTTGTTGGGTGGTCGGTTTGACGGTTCTTTTTTCAGTTTATTTGCTAAGGGTAATAGGCAAGGCCTTTGAAAACCCTATTGAGTACTTGTCAGCTCGTTAGAAATAACTGTACACGAACAATTAAAATATCCGCCATTAAAACAGTACTTGATTCATTTGAGTAACACTTTCTCAGACAAAAATTCGCGGGCGATTTAGTTCTGATTGAGACTGTCGGGGGAAAACAGGGGACATGAATAATCATACGGGCGTTTCTTGAAGAGTTGCAGAGACGTTGCCTCCACGACTGACTGAGAGACATCTTTCCATTTTTGCACTACCCCTTGCATGAACAATTCAGAACGAAGATTCGCCCTGGACATTGTTGTCCGTAGCTTTATTGAGTGATAAGGAAGATTGGGTGAAGTTGCCACTGAAATATGCCCTCAAAGCTAAGTCTATGCTCAAGGCCATATATTATCTTGTAGACAAGGATAAGGTCATCTCATTGCTGCCTGTAACACAGAGGGAATAAATTAAGGCACTTCAGTCTGCCTGTGTAGGCAGATTTACCAGATTTGTTGCTCGACGTTGTGCCCGTTCGTGCACATCCCCTGTTAGGTAAAACTTTGTCTACGCGGGCCAGGTGGTGCATGTAACACACTCAGACGACGCCAGTCGCTACGTCAGTCACTGCGCCCATTCCCCACACCCACACTACCATCGAGACCAACTCTGCAACTACCTACCTTTCGGCCTGGTCGTGCGTTTGCAAATCCATCGTTCGGATACTGGTGAGTCAGTGCCTAGAGGACCAACTTTCCACATTGCCCTCACGCATCCAACCACCGCATGGGTCTGCCACGTCCCCTGGGCATTCAAGAAAACTTGTGGTAAATCACTGCAGGCACGGCCAGATCACAACACGTTCCCCCAATTAGGACATGCACCACACATACACCCGTCCAAATTCTCTAAGCACCAGCATTCATTCCGCGCACCAGACAACTGAGCGGCTCGGACCGTGGGTGGGGCTTGGGAATGAAAAAAGAGAGGCCGAGGGCTTAGCGCATTTTCCACGTGATTCTGTGCTAGAGCACACTGCAGACATCGTCGGCAACGACGGTAAAACTGTCGGGTGCTGACGATGAGTGTTATAATGACTTGCCGTAGCTGGAGGAGTTTTGTTGCAAGTTTTAATGGAGATGCATTTTGCCTAGCAGGCCGTCGGTCGTGGATGCCTGCGTGTGCAGTAACTGCTCCTTTCCAACTGGTACCTAAAATGCCTTAGTTATTGTACATTTCCCTTAGGGTCGCTGTAGTGCGTTTTTACCCTAACAGAGTCCTGTCTAGGCATTACCTTGTGGTTGCTATGATGGCTGAGAATTTATATTGTGTTATTCGCCTTTCCGCCCACTGTGGTGTTGAGTCTATGTTTTGTTGTGTGCGTGACTAACACGCCAATGGAAGTTAATTCCTCGGACTCTTGTTCTTCTCCTATAAGGTGAATAGCGGGAAAAGATGCCGTTAAGCAGGTTTGGAAAACCCGAGAACCTGTCCTTATTAATAAGGACGAGTAAGTCCTCAGCATATCGGCGCCAAATCGCATGTTAGTATTCTTTGAAAGTGAGATTTGCCAGCTCGTAGGGGACCAATTCAACAACTTAGCTGGGAGCCAATGGGGGTTCCTCTTGAAAAGCTTGAGTATATTACCGGTGTCAGATAACGGTAGCCGGTCGAGCATGTCTAACGGGAATGGTAGAAAATGGGGTTATATATGTTGAACGTCATATAAGCCTACTGGAGCCGCCTTTAATGGAAAATACGCACAGGAGGCCTCGTGTCCGGTAGAGCAGTATGGGCACATGTAGACGAAGTGCAGTAACGCCTTTGATGTGGGATGAAGAACGCGGGCCTAAATGAGACGTGGGAGACCTTTCTGTCCCATGGTGCGGACGTACAGAGATAAGTCGTGTGGCAATGATCTCCGTTGAGTACCTGTAGTTGACAGACATTATGACCATTTTGGCGTCGTTGTTCAAGACCTCATTGCCTCCAGGTCATTCGCGGACGTAAAATGATTCGTCGTGTCGCAGTGTTCATTGTTGAGTATCGGGATATGTCGAAGATGTGGGCGGTCGGGGTAGGCATAGGAGGACGCTTCTTGCTGTCCCTTAACTGCGGATCAATCTTTTGCTATTTATTAAAAAATTGCATGTAGAGGGTGCAGAAAACTGAGTCTGCACAGACATTTTGCTGCATCGCGTCCTTCGCACGGTACGGCGCAAATGATGTCATCCTGCCAGGGCTGTCGAGGCCCGTGAATGGATTTCTACCAAAAAACCTACCTAACAATGCTCGCGTAGATAAATATAGTAGGCAACAGTCGAAAGTAACTTTACCCCTTGTCATATACTTTGTCCTTACAGTTGCTTTGGTTTGCGCGCATGTTCTCCCGTTGAAGATGGAAAGGGTTCGCATGCAGAATACAAAGAATGGCATTATTTGCTAGATTTTTATAGGCCTTGTCTTCTCATCGTATTTCTCTTCGGACCGTTTTTGTAGTCTGTCGCAAACCAACTCTGGCGGAGTGGACGTGAATAATGGTACAACATCAAAGGATACTATACATGCCAGAACCAGCAAGATAAAGAAATAGCTGGAAACAGATGAACTATCGGGTTTAGTTTATCAAATTCTGTACCATAACTGTCCTGGCATTGTAAAGGCCAAATCGGACGACTCCACACCTCACAAATGCTTGAACACAAACGGGTCGTTCGGAGAGGCGATCCACTGTCTCAAGTCGCCGCTCACAGGCTGGAAGAAGGCCAGGAGCTCGACTTCGCCAACACCTAGATACTGACGCTAGTCGACGAACAAGACGAGGTGGGAACTGCCGGAGGCCTGAGTGACAGACTCCAACTCCTCTGTTAGACATATTAACCTATGCCCGTGTTATCACAAGTTAGGCGCATGCAGCGAGGTGGCACGGGTCACATAGCAGACGAGGACAAACGTCGTCACCATGCCGTGAAACCACTATGGACGAGGCGTCCCCGACCAGACCTAACTACAGACGTAAACCCTCCTGCCCATACTCACAGTACGAAGTTGTTGCACTCCCGCAGTCCTTGATGATGAAGTTCTGTTCGAATTCAAAAGTTCACGTTAATAAAGCTGCCGTCCCACTGGTCACACCTTTGTCTTCTTTAAAATAGGATTCCGTGCTGCACATACTCTCGTCCATCTATGGTATGACTGTTGTGAAGCTCCACTTCGAGGCCGAGCAGTGGAAATCGTCTGCCATGTCCTCACTTCATAACGAGGCAGTCTCACGCCACAGTTACATCCTGTTCACCTCCCCAATTTCACGGGGTTCATGTAGCAAAACAAAGTCAAGACGATCGGGGCTTGGTGTTGACACAGTATCTGGACAAATCTAACGCCACATCTATGTATGCCAAACTCAGCACTGTCCCTAATTATCATCATCTTTGATGGCATTCCATCTCATGTCGAAAAGGGCAAATTACATATGATTCGAGACAACATTAAATAACTAGTATGGTTTATTTATTAGCATAACCAGTAGCCAGCCCCACATCAATCTAGGGATGGCATTTGTGGCTTACGATTCAACACCAGTTGATTGTTCTATGAGCAGCATCCTTTGCTCGGAAGAATAGTATCAATTGTTTGGAAGGTCAGCTTTAACATATAAATGACTAGCGGCTGCTTCTTCTCACTCCTAGAATTGGATTCGTCGCCGGACTAACAATGCATTGTGCCTAATAGCTCCCACCACTTGAGACAACTCTCGCGTCTACCCTCATCGTGTTGACACCTTGTAGTTCCAGCTTCCACTAGTTACACACTTTTCTAACTGCTAAATATATATGCAGCCAGGACTCCACGTCAACATACGCCCACTCTCTTTGAGTATTGGACTCGGTTTGCTTGACTCTCTGTAAAATAATCGTACTTTCAGCAGCTTCATTTGTCCTTACATGTGAATTCAGTCCTAGCAGATCACATTGAATTCATGGATAAAACTACGCACCTCCTACTCGACTTTCATCCACGCACTCACACGAATGCATTAGCTGTTCAGCACATTAAACCAAAGGGTTTTAAAACACCACAGGACAAAAGACATCACAAGCTGGGCGTTTGTGAGCTGGCATAATACTTTGGTCATTTTTAATAAAAAGTCTCTCCTAACGACGTTGAAAGGAGCATATATAGGTTGCTATAAAATGCGTAAAGCACTACTGGAATAATAGGTCTGTCTTACATTGGAAATTTGGATTTTGATTTCACGACCTAATCCTCCAACCCACGTTTTTTTAACCATCGCTCATTACAGAGCCCAGGGTTCCTATCACTCAACCATCAAACTGCCGTTTGGTCGACTGCGATCGGGGATATTAACTTATGTTGTAAGTTTTTTCACTGACCCATCCACGGTTAATACTCGTTCCCTTGTGTCTTCGGACTCAGTTAAGACCCCTTGCAGGCAGTCGCACTGCTACCTCTAATGGATACAGAGGCGGAGTACCTCTCAGAAGAAGGTGCGGTCGCTGGAACTTGAGGTCCTTTCCTGGATATCAAAAATTCTCACTCGAACACACCACCAGCAAATGTCTGAGATTTGGCTGACGAACGTACAGGGGGTGTAGTATTACAGTAAACATTTGTCGCGAAACCACATGCACTACCATGCAACTTTGTCAACATTTGCACGAGTAACCAGAACGAGTAACCGAATCCTAAACTTTGGCGAACGCTCCTGTGTCAAAAGCGCCAGAAGGGAATTTATGATGCGGTCTTGAACATCAAGAGTTGACGTTCCGCGCAAAACACTCCGTTCAGCGACGTATAAGAATAATAATAATGGTGATGAGGAAGGCGACGATGACGATGATGATGACGATGACGATTGTGGTGATGATGATGATGATGATGATGATGATGATGATGATGATGATGATGATGATGATGATGATGATGATGATGATGATGATGATGATGATGATGATGATGATGATGATGATGATGATGATGATGATGATGATGATGATGATGATGATGATGATGATGATGATATGTGGACAACAAATCAACTGCTGGTTACCCTACCCTTGACCTAACCGATTTGTTAGTAATTTCTATCATAACACGCCCAGATTCATTGTCCCTGATAAATACCACCACTTGAGACGATACTCTCGTCTACGTTCGTTGTACTGACACGTAGTAGTTCTAGCTTCCACTAGTTGCACACTGTTCTGACTGCTAAATATAGATGTAGTTAGGACGCCGCTTAAGCATACGCCCACTCTTTTTGAGTATTATACTCGGTTTGTCTGACTCTCTGCAAAACCGTAGTCTTGTGAGCCTCCGTAAACTCGCCTCGTTTTTGCCTTCATGTGAACACAGGCTCAGCAGATCACATGGAATTCATTGATTCAACTACACATATCCTAATCGCCTTGCATCGACGCACTAACGCGAATGTATTAACTGTTCAGCCCATTAAACTGCAGGGTATTAAACCCCACCGGGGTAATAGACTTCACAGGCTAGGCGCTTGTCAGCTGACAGAATTCTTTGGCCATTTTTGAATAAAATTCTCTCCTACCGACGTTGTAGGGAGAAGCGTAAAACATAACTGGGTTGGTGGATCACGCCACCGAACTCAAAGTTTTCATCCAAATGCATGACGCCGTTCGTGCATGCTCAACTGACAACAAGGTGAGTCAAGTAATTGCTTCGGTCTGACGAACGCTGAATCGGCATTTAATAGGCATAAGCGAATTCAGACATTAAAGTCCAATAAACCCTGCGGAGCAGCATGTCAATCCAGTAGACTAGCCACGATAATCCTATATACGACGTTCTTCAAAAGATTCCTGCCAGCTGAAGGACAGTGGGCCTTCACTTATTTCGTAGCCTCACCATCACACATGTTCTCACGGCATAGAGACTATCAAGACTAGGATGCGGCCTGTCTTAGCACTCCGAATGCCTTGTTACACAGAGCACTTGAACTGGTCACAAATCGCCGGGACTACAGTCACAAGTGACGCTAGCTTGATATGAACTTGCCGCAGACCTCACTGAGCTCCCATTCAAGAACTTCCCTGATCAAATTCTAAAATAAAAAAGGACGGAATAAAAGTGTACCCTAACCCAATCTAACATCGTATATATGGTCAGGATAACGTACACGAATATCCAGGTTATGACTGTAAGTCGGTCCATTGGGTAATGCCCTTGAGTAACAAGTATTGATGGGACGCTAAGAAAAAAGTATGATCTTCCAGATAAATTACTAGAAAAGTGTTATACGGTATTTTTCCCTCCTTTAAGCACTTAAATAATCACCATATTTATCAATCACTGCTTCCCATCTTGCAACCAAGGTTCACTATTCCTCTTCATAAGAGGATGTCTGGTCTAATGGAAAGGATTCCAATAGTCCTGTTTTGACAACAGTTTTGATATTTCGAAAGATTTTCAAGCCCCGGAAGTAATACAGGGATCTGAACATATGATAAACAATTAGCGCGAAATCGAGATCTTTTTCTGGTTCTGTCAGGCCGAATGTGGTCTCTCGCTGTCAGGACACCCTTTCCTATTGATTAGTGCTGGATGTTTAACTGAAAAAATAGGTTTCAGGCGTACCGATTGTTGACAATAGATTTTGCTGTTATGGTCTGACTTTGCTCTTGTAGATCAAAGAAAAGTATGCCTGCCGTACTCCACCAAGCACAGAGTAAGACTTTCTTGATGTACGGGGCAAACCACTTGTGTTTGGACTTATTGCTGTTATAAAGAATATATTTACCATCTACAGCGATATTTCGGGGAGAATAGTTTTCTCTACTACATGCTTAGCAAAAGATTATAGATTGAGGAACTGTTGGCTTTGCTTTTGTTATCACTCAACATGGGATCCAAACCTCTTGTCAACTGATCTTCGCTATGCGTCGAAGGTGTTCCTGAACAGTAGGCAATAAACGGTATGATCGCACTTTGTAGCCAAGCACTGTACGTCGATACTGTCGACGAACTTACTTGTTATCGGTAGGTGTGCTTACCTTGTCTAGGGAACTGTTATCGGTAGGTGTGCTTACCTTGTCTAGGGAACTGTTATCGGTAGGTGGGCTTTTACTGCATGAGGTAGGTCAGCCGTTTCGATCAGGCTGTTGGGTTTAGTGAGGGTTACGGTTAGTCGTAGATTAGGTTTGAGGATTAGGATTTGCGTTATAGGGTCCGGCTTCAGTGTTAGGATTTGGGCTTAGGTTTACGATTATGGTTTGGCTTTAGGATTGGGTTGCGGCTTTAGGGTCAGGGTTAACGGTCAACGAATAATGGTTCATGGTTAATGCAAGGGTTACAGTTAAGGTTAGGGTTATAGTTAATTTTAGGGTCAAAGTTAAGGTTAAGGTAAGGTTAATGTTTACGTTAAGGTTAGGGTTTAGTTTTGAGGTAAGAGTTAGACTTAGTGTTTTCCGGGAAAGTTTTCGAATCTTAGAGTTAGGTTCACCGAATAAGGTTTCGTTGGGATTAAGCATTTTGGCTTGTCTTACTAAAATTTCCCAGCATTTATTTTGATAAATTTATTTTTTCCCAGAAACTCCAGCATTCCCCCACCAGCACTAAAACTTACTTCACCCATACAAAGCCCTTTCCCACCATTCCTCGCTGTCTGCCTCCCCATTCCTGCGATCTAACCAAATAAATAACTTGATTTTTCGGATAGGTCCGTAATGTTTTAATGAGGATCGATCTCAGCGGCTGCGCGCTCAAGGTCGCTATCTACGTCCATTAGTCTTCCAGTACGGTGGGCATTGGAGAGGCCAAAAGTTGCCCGATAGGAGTTTAGAAAATCAGAGATAACTCATGGAGACATCAAAAACAGTCGAATAAACACCACAACTTGTTTTTTTCGGCCATTGTTGCGTTGGTTCCCTTGCGGACTTCATACAGCAAACAATAGGCAATATAGCTGCTTTCGGATTTCGCGTCTACCACTTTGTTAAATCCAATCTAAAAAAAATTGTTGTCCAAGCATTTGGATCATACGTCGAAGATGGAACAACAATTTGACCGTCGATTTCGATGACGATCACCGCTTGCGCCGCAGCAGGGTAAAATCATGAATGGTGAATCACATGTGAATAAGTTTATAATAATTATAATAGACTTGCGCACTATCTGCACAGTCTTTCCTCTCCCACCTGGGCCCATCCTCAAGGTAAAATTAAGAAAACCAGTGGCAAGTGATGGGGTAGGTGACGGGAGTGGCGAGAACACGTACCTAGGCGTACCACTACTCTCTCTGGTCTACAAAAAACACCTGACTAGGGTTTTATGCTTCAAGAAGAAAGGAGGATGTCTCAGAGGGATGAGAGGTTGCTCGGATCCCACTGGGTGCCACAGAGGCCACATTGGGGAGGGGTTGAAGTCTGACCCCCAGTTCGCTTGTCCGTCACCCCGCACAAACACTCAATGGACTGACTGTGAGGTAGAGCGGACGTAAACACCTTACAAACAACATTCAAATTAAGACCAGAGATGTCCACAATATTTTGCCTGAATTTCCGACTCATGTGACTGGGCATTAGTATGTGCATGGTGAGTGGGCGGATCGTTAGCGCAGCTGAGTGGCACGAATTTAGCATCGGGTTAATTGGCGATGGTACTGTTTGCATTCGTCCACGACCCCGTCGTCTATATTGCTGAAGAGTTAGTCTTAACCCCGGAAACGTGTTTTGGTCGCAGTTCGGACGAGTTGATAAGCCCAGTAATTCCAGCGTCAGATTTATGTCTGGCTTTTAAACATCAGTGTATTGTTTGGGCCTTAGATGATTTACTGGTGACGCTCTAATGGCTAATCTAACCAGAAACTCCTAGACGTCACCATACATTCAGCGAACACGTCCAAGCGTCCACTTTTCCCAACTCCTCCTGTAGTCTTTTGTCATCACCTTCTCACCTGGATGGAACGAACGTAGTTTTGCTCCATGTCGTCAGTAAAATTGCCTTTCCATCAATGTCGGACGGAATGTTTCGCGGTAACCATTCCATTTTCATCGCACCGACGTCGTCGAGCAAACCACATTAAATGATTTACGAAGATTGTTCCCCATCTTAGCTTCTGCGGGAGATAAGCCGAAGTATATTCCGAGCATAACATATTTTAGCAACGTGTACAAGGCTACAAGGCGTATACGAGAATTTTTAGGATGGGGCTGAAATTCGGCCAATCAGATAGTGGCTTCGAGTAGCTCGTATGTTGGCTAGACTTCTGATTCATCCAACTGTCTGGGTAAACCTTCGATCATTTGAGGAGGTTGGTGCCACTCGGCATATGCGCGGCATTGTAGCAGCTGGAGATCTGAGCAGAGGCCTCATTCTGGTTGCTTTAATCGACACTTACGTTGGATTGCATTCTTCCGTTCTTTCCTTCAGGGAACGGACCACCAAGTTCACGTGTGGACAAATAATCGTCAACCACATTTCGAGGTCTTAAAAAGTTTCATCATTGGAAACGTTTTTAAAACCTCATTATACTCCTTTCTTAAGTATAAAATATAAAGAAGACGTGATTCTCTATTGATTGACTAAAAGAAAGCATATTTTTTATGGTCTCTATAAAATATATTTGAATTTCCAAGACCATCGAAAATCAATGGGAAAATGCATTCTACTTAAGTAGTCATTTTTTTACCGAGCACGCTTTCTACAGGAGATTGAAAAGAAGTGCATTTAAAAGCCGACATCCTGCCGGTCCGAAATGATATAAGAGTGTGCCTTAAGATAATCAGTATCACCACGGCGACCAAGTAATCCTTCCTAATCGAAAACGCATTTCACAATTACAGCCAACATTTCATGAGATAGGTCACTCACTGTGAATGCTTGCATGTGAAGGTGATGCAAAAAATGCGTTTTTGTAAATTAAACATATTTTCATGGCATTTTCATTGGAATCACGCCAACACTTTCTGCCACCGACGTTTAAACTGCCACACCACCTGTGGTGGTGTCGCTAAAAGCCGCGACGCGATTGAAGTATGCATAATTCCTAAATTGGCAACTTCCAATGACGTAGCGAATGACTGTATTCCACTTGGCGAATGACGTACACGGATAGCTGGCGATAAAAGCACAACGAGTTCTATGTAAGATCATTAGTATCTCAGGCCTCAACTACGATGTTCCAGAACGTTCCGTGCCCGAACAGACTTCTGATTTTGACAGTGGGTTTCCTCGATTGTCTCTTAATTGCAGGATGGTGGATCGCCATCCATCGGAAGACCCCTTCAGGCAGAAATGCAGGCGACTGCAAGTCCGACTGGCAACACGTCGATTACTGGCCTGAGACAAACAGTTTTGAGTTGTCACTCGTGGTGCATGCTGCGAACGGTGGTCGCGGCATCAGCAAAAGTGTCGACCGACGCATTCATGCTCGACAAATCTCACTGCGTCATCCACGTCAACGAACCTATACGTTTGCGGAGATGGCCGAGATCGAGGATGACAACTGGAGACGCCCGATCCGCCGTTCGAATTACCTGCTCTACCCACAGGCGCTGGATATGAAACAGGTGGTGGCAGACATAATGAGCTGCCGTTCCGTACCAGAGGTAGGTGTGGAAAATAAAGAAAGGTGAATCATCTGCTTCCGCATCATCTGCAACTGCACTTTTTGACTTCAGTATATTCTCGTAGTTGAATCTCACTACCAGTGAACATGAAATATATTCAGGTCATCATTCAAGTACATGATCGGACGGACTTATGCTTGGATGTTCATTCAACAACCAATGTATATTTCACCAATCAAAGGCCCAAAGTAAGAAGTAGGAATTTTCTTCATGTATCTATGGCTTCACAGCAGTGAGGATGTCTGTAGTCTGAGTGCTAACCTAATCAGGGCAAACCCTAGCGTCGGAAGGAGCAGACAGAAGGAACCAGAATGAGGAGTTTAATGTAGACAAGACCCGCAGTTGTCTTCTCCGGCGGCAGTGACCACTAGCAAAGCCAGGGCTGGTGTTGACTGCGTCCAGTCACGCCTGAGAGTCGCCGAGAGAGTGGTGGCAGCCGCTTTTGTAGGCTCGTGGGCTAAGCTCAAGTGGTGGCTAGTCAGTGTGTGTTGCATTTGCCGCGGGTTGGTGTCCCAGGGGCTTAGTTTGTGGTTGCAGAGGAGAGGTGCGTCCAAGTAGCCGCATAGGCTAATGCGGATGTGTGGAGGCAGGTATGTCCGAGCTGTCGGTCGTGTGACTTCAGGTCAGCTCGTCTGGAAGCGCTCATAGCAAAAGGGTGAAGTACTTTGAGGCTGCGAGGTCTTGAACAATGACGCCAGACCGGTCATGATGGCTGCCCGCCTCGAATCGTCGAGATTTTTGTGAATCCAGTCATACATCCAACTCCGTGCTCCTTTCTTAGACTTGAAGGAATGGTGCGTTTCGGCTTTTGGAGCTCTGTACTGAAGCGCATTTCGCATCCTGTGGAATCTTCGGAGAGCTCGAAGAGACTGCGTGCCATAATAAACCGGTGAAAATTACTCGGGGTATTGTGGACAGACAGGCTAGAAATGCACGGCCTAAACCCATCATCCTGTAGTTCTTGGAGAATTTGTGCATAATGTCTCATTGTCGTTATAAATGCAATCGAATTTAAGCTTGCCAGCCCTCCGCGCAACACACTTAAGAGTAGGCAGGAAAATACCTGATGAAGTGGTAAGTTGACAGTTTGGGCATTTTCTGGAATTCACGGCTATTTAACGTACATCAGGCGATTAGTGAGCAGTTATGTCTGCATAAATAGCCATAAGTAGAAATTAATGCCGGCGAAATACTGAAAGACATACCTCTCCGTTTTGTCAAGCACTATGGATGTAGTAACTTGGTGCTCTGTTTGCGTTTTTTTGTGCTTCCGGTCGCAACTTCTGGTAAGGCTTCTAAAGAGGAACGTTTTCTGACTGTAAGCAGTTCGACGAATCTCCTCCATCTTACTTAGTCAGTGACGAGCTACTTATACGACTGTTCATTTTAACGCATTTTGCACAGTGCACTGCGTCTCATCTGCCTGAATCGCCTCATCTCCCTTGTATAGACTCCCATATTTAATGAAACGATCAAATTCCTCAACATCAGCTCGACTGTCTGCGTGCCAGGAATAGCCGTTAAAGAAGCTCTGGATGCTATCGTAGTAGTTAAGTCAGCCGTCTACAACTTTGCAGTTCGTGATCGCATTCGGAGGACCTATGCCAAAGAATTCAAGCGTGAACATGCTTTCCGCATGGCCATGGTCTTCTCCGTAGGACTACCCCGAAGCAGCGGGGGTCGGTACTTCCAGCGCGACGGTTTGAACATCTCACTGCCGGGCCGGGCGGGCGAGTCGCTGGAAAAGATGCGGTATGAAGGTGCGGAAGTTCTCAGAAAATTGGCAGACGAAACCCGAGTCAACGGTGACCTCCTGCTGGGTGACTACGAGGATACCTACTATAACCTCAGTCTCAAGTTATTTTACACCTTCCAATGGGCCTCTTGTTTCTGTAGTCCACATTTCACCTCCCAACAACGACCTCCTGTCTTCATTCTCCTGGACGATGACTATGCCTTCAATGCAACCATTTTAAAGACTGAACTGATGGCACTCTCGGAGACGCAAATTCGACGAGTGACCTGGGGCATGCTGCAGATGTGGAGTCCAGTATATCGTCCTCTCGTCTCGCCAGGTTTTGAAAAATGGATCCTCTCTAAACGCCAAATGCCCTGGCCCTACTTCGCACCTTACCCCTCCGGCGCCTTTCTTGTCATCGGCGCCGACATTCTTCAGGAAATCGCCCTGGCCATGTACTTCACTCTACAATTTCCAGTTGACGATGCCTGGTTAGGCATGGTTATGACAAAGTTGGATGTCTGCGTTGAGCCGCGTCCATCGATGCATATCTCCTGGCCAAGGGAGGGTAGAAAGGAGTTGGTTTCGTTTGCACCCCTCGACTTCCTCTTCGGCTAACAATAGCTATAATGTACACCCACCAGGGAAGCATTTACTTGAATATGCTAGTGCATTGCGTCTGTATGAAGGGCTTTAATTAATAGACGAACTTTGATTTTAAGGTTGTGTTTCTTTTGTTGATATTAGCGCACAACTGGAGTGTGGAACTAATGACCTCGGAAATTTTCGAGCAATTTGCGATTTCGGGTTTTGCTAGTCGGAATCCCTGTATTTATTGATGTTGATATACAATTCGGTAAGAATATGGGCACATTGTGACCAGGAATGTACCTGGAATTTCCTCGTATAATCCATAACAATACCAACTTCTTTGCCAGCACGTTAATTGTACTATCAACAGATATAATCGGCAGAAGTTTGCGCAGTAATTGAAATGGCTAATGGAATGGCCAACAGACGACTACTAAACAGCCATCATCAACTTATTAGAGCGAACGTTTGACGAATGTGAAAAGAACTATGTGACTGTCACTGATTCTAGTAAGAAGGCACGGATCTATTTACTTCCAGTCCTACATCGCAATAAGCCAATTAAAACTCATTTTAGGGTCTTTATTCAATCGTCTGTGTCTCTACTTACGATTCTTAAATTGAGAATCAAGGTGTTTATCGACAGAGAACGGGTTTGATAGCTTACGCACCGCCAACGCATAAAGCAAATTTGAGATGAAGAGCTATTATGATCATTACTTAGTTTTCTGCGGCAAAAGTGCTCGCCGCAATCTATACTGACTCAGGAAAATGTAGCCTGTAGGCTACAGTTAGTTGTTTGGTTTAACAGATGTGGTTCATGTTGTGTCTGTCCGACTTCTATCTAGAAGTCGAGATTTAAGTAGCATTGTCGCTGTCTTAAATCTGAACGAAAGGTTTATTTTTGAGTAGAATCCTGTTTTTGTCAGTGAATGAGCATAGCTGACTTTCTGTTTTGAGTCTACTCTCGGGCAAGTTTGAGCGTGCAGACCCTACTTTTATCCTTCCAAAGGACTCGGTTGGAGAATCTCGGACAAACGCGTAGGTCTTTCTTAGAAGGAATGTAGCCGTGTATAAATACTGATGTCGGGGGTGAATAGGTGGCACCTTCTAGTGCACGCTAAAATGAGTTTGTTACTTAATCGACACCAGATTAACACGTTTATTGACATATAGGTCATCTACCGCGCCAAATATGCGGAGAGCGGAGTAAACATATTCAAACCATAGATTTTAGATGATTTTGCAAATTAAAATATATTTTACAGAAAACACGAACAAAAATATGCTTCCTTTCTTTCCTCTGATAAAGAATCAAGTTGTTTTTATATTTTCTGCCGAAGAAAGGTTATAATAAGGTTTTGAAGACGTTTCTAATCATAAGGTTTTTCGAGACCATGCAACTGCCATTCATACAGAATCGTACCTGTCTGTTTACCACAGGTCCTAATGAAATGCACAACACGGTCCGCATACATTGCAGCATTTTATGGACTCTATATGATATATTTTGAAGAGATGGAAAAATATGGGATTTTCTTTACGGTGAACACATGCATCTTGTGAACTCTAATGGCTAAGCGCTAATGCAACGGCTGATCAGGCACAAATTTGTTCGGAAATTAAAAAGCCTCTTTTAAAACCTAACTTAAATCCTTTTTGAGTATAAATATAAAAAAGACGTTATTCCCTATCAAACAGCTAAAATAAAGCATATTTTTGTTTGAGGTTTTTATAAAGTATATTTCAATTTTCAAGACCATCGGAAATCATTGTAAAAAATGCATGCGAATTAAGTAGTCACTTGTTACCGAGGATGGTTTCCAAAGGCTGACATGCTGCCGAGTCCGAAATATATTACGACTATGTCCTAAGATAATTAATGTTTCAACCCCACCTAAGTAAACCTTCCTAACCGAAAAAGCATTTCAGAATTTCAGCCAAGATTTCATGAGATCGATCACTCACTGCATGTGTCCTCTAGATTCGGACGATCACGAATTTTCGTCAAACATTCCAACGGCTGATCAGGTTAAAAATTATTCGGGAATTAAAAAACTTTTTAATGACCTACCTAGAATCCTTTTTCGCTTATAAATATAAAGAAGCGGGGATTCTCTATCAAACGGCAAAAACGAAGCTTATTTTTGTTCGGGGTTTTATAAAGTACATTTCACTTTTCAAGAACATCCCAAATCATGGCAAAAAATGCGTGCAAATGAAGTAGCCATTCTTTACCGAGGACGGTTTCCAACAAAGATTAAAATGTAGATTATTCAAACGCTGACGTGCTGCCGAGTCCGAAATATCCTAGGACTATGTCCTATGCTAATGAATGTTTCAACCCCAAGTAACTAAACTTTCCTAATCGAAAACATATTTCAGAATTTCAGCCAACATTCCATGAGATCGGTCATTCACTGTATGATTTCTTCAGGTTTGGACGATCACGAATTTTCGTCAAACATTCCAATAACCTTTATTAGCAAATAAAGTAATCAAAATTAGGCTTGATTGGATGTTACCAATTTTAAATTTGTATAAAAGTGGAGGATGAAAACAAGGGAGGATAGTTCAAAAATTTAGGCCAAAGTGGGATTGTCACCGGCTACAGCATCCAGCGTGACGTCGAACAATCAGTCTGCCCACAAATTATCTAAATACCTATGAGCACTTCAGTTGCCAGTGTGTTAGTCACCCCTTCATGCAAGACAGAGCCTCTGGTGTGCAATCTTCTGCGGTTACACTGAATGGCCCTGCGGGACTGAGGGGAACAATGCTGACTGGCCTTCTTGCAGGTTCTGTGTCTTTAGTCGTCGCACGGTAAGTGGCATCTGCCGTGACGGAACTCCGAATGCCCGCTCCTCGTAGCTGTCATCCAGATCCTGCAGGTCGGTAGGCATCCTGGCGAGGGAGGAGAAGACGCCGGTGGAGACCGCCTTTTGCCATTCCTCTTGCCACTGGCGCCACCAGGGCTTCTCCAGGGCTCGCATTCGCAGCAGATGCTGCACCCTCGCCAGGGACGCGATTGGCTGACTGCGGCAGTGCAACAAAGACCCATCTGGCCTCGAAGCTAACCGGTCCGCAGCTCGAGCCAACGCTGTGCCACCCTGAGTGCTCCCTTCAGGCATGCCGCTCAGCTCATCAGCCAGAAGCTGGGCGTCAGACAGGACCTGCGCCATTTTAACCGTTCGTCTACTTTCCTAGAGGGTAGAAAAAGAAAGGTTAAAGCGTGCAGCAGAACTTGGACACACTCATATGTTGATGTGGACGTTCCTGTCAAGGTACACTGCTCTCCCCTCCTACTCCCCGGGATCTTCTTTTTTCAGGCATTGCTAGCAGTGCGCACTTACTGTCCATCTTCTCATAGTCATCAAAACTTATGCATCTTGCTTGGCGCGTAAGCCACTCGCCAGCCGGTCTGTTGGTAGCACGGTCTTCGCGCATCTCTGTCCTACATTAGGTGAGCTAACTCATGAAATTTCAACCGAAATTCAGAAAGGCAGTTTCGTTTTCAAAGATTAGTTAACTGTGGTGGCAAAACTAATCATCCTGCAGCATAATTCTGTAATAGATTAGTTACTTCAGGATGCTGGCTTTTGAACGGACTTCTTTCCGTCCGCATGAAAAAAACTACACTCTACAAAAATGGCTACTTAATTAGCATACAGTTTACTCATTGATTTTCGATGCCCTTATAAATTCAATTATATTTCGTGGAAAGCATGCATGAAAATATTCACCCCTTGCTCGTTTGGCGGGAAATGACTTCGTCTCCTAATTGTATACTCAGCGGAAGGCTTATATTCGGTTTTCAAAATCTTTTCCAATTCCCGAATAATTTTTAACCCGACATCCTGTTACACTTGCATTAAGGGTTTTTAAACTACAAGTCGTATATTTTCCACATACGGAAAACCATACATTTCTCTACGATAATAAGAGGAGACCATATGGGGTTCATTAAATTTAGCAGTGGATTTAAGCCATTTTGTTACTTACAAGCCACATTGTAAAACCAGAGACATCACATTTCATGAATGGTCATTTCACGGTATTAAAAAATCTCACAATTCGAAACTTTTTAAAACCGAATTACGTCCTTTCTTTCTACCGAAAAAGCACAAAGCTTAATACTTGTATGCATGTTTTCCACGAAATGTAATTCAGTTTATAAGGGTATGGAAAATCAATGAGAAAAGTGCATGCAAATTAAGTTCTCACTTTTTACAGAGTATAATTTTTGCATACAGCTGGAAAGAAGTTCTTTCGAAATCCGGCATCCTGAAGTAGCTAAACTGTTATAGAATTCTGCTACATGATCATTAGGTTACCCACCTTGTTTAATTAATCTATCCGAAATGAAAGTACATTTCAAAATTTCGGTTAAAATTTTACGAGTTAACTCACCTACTGTACATCAGTCACGTATACTGCTGCCAGCACGCCGCCAGTATTTTGCGTCCTGCCCTTTTTCCCCCAGCCTTCCAGACAGAAAAGACATTTTTATAGGTTTCCACACTTTGTAAATGCTTTCGTACCTTTGTCAAAGCACATATTTAAGGCCTGCTTTATGACTTTCAGGAAGCCTGACTCTTTGGAGGGTTTGATAAAGACAACAATTCACATCTTGTGGGAATTACTGAACGCAGATTAATGACCTGAATTCACTTAATAATTGAGACTATGCTTTACCCAGGATCACTCGACGCGACTGATTATAAAGCGGACAGTGGACACGGGAGTATGGGCACCTAGTAAGTAGTATCGTCTTCCTTGCGTGGGTTCAAGCTTTCTCTGCTGGTGCGGATGAAGATTTAAAACTAGCCATCTAACGTTAAAGCGGCTAAATTCATGCTGGGATCCGGCAACGACAGCTGATCTATGACTCCATAACCACTGTCGTCTTCTCCACACTTTTAATTTTTCTTATAATTGCGCCCTCCATAGCGGATGGCTTCCTTGATCTGCCCTCGGTTGAGATTTCAGTAAAAATGAAATCTGAGAGGCTGAGTTAAGAGACTAGC